ATGCTTCTTACACCACAGACTTTTGCCACCCGTAGGCCTAGACCTGCCTTAGCTTGTCATCTTTTCATAGACATTGCTCTCCCGTTAACTCCCCCCTGCTGTGTGTGAGGTGTGGGCAGCTTCTATCGGGATTGGCAACTCCTGCACAAATCTCTAAATGTTTGTTCATTTTCTAAGAATTTCATCGGCTCTGAAAAGCAATCCCCCTATCAACCTCATTTCTTTAGCATGCGTTGCTTTCTGACAAAATGTCCCTAATAGCCAGGTTAAGATGGTTACTGCCTGCTCTGACTGATGGAAGTACGGGGTACCTCTACTGCCTTTCGAAAAACTCCTGGCTTGGCTGCTTATATTTGGCATACAGGGACCTAACCTGATTTCAGCCTCAATAAAGCAGAGGTGTGGGCAGCTTGCTCTCTTTTTGGAAGAGGATTTGGGGACTCTTGACCCAATACTTACACTTCAATGCTTTTTGACCCGATACCTTCACTTTAATGCTTTTTTATAGCTTTATATTGAAAAAACAGTTTGGACATAATTAATTGTTTTTACTACCAACAGGGTGTAAAATCTGCATGTGACCTGCCTGCACTGCAGCAGCCGGCAATGCTCTTCACTGCTGCAATAGTCAGCTCAAGTTAGGTCACAGCAGGTCAGCAAATAATCTCCAAAGCATGGAATTATTTAAAGGGTAATTCAGCAGTCAACAAATGTCAGACCTTTATAATTCCATAAATCATCTCTCCAATCTGTGAATTGCATTAAACAATGAATTTTACACATTTTCCCCATTGATTGCCTGCCCTACAGAAGTATGGATTTGAGGCAGGTAACTGTACATGCTCCAGTTGTTCCGATGATTTATATGACAAGGAAGCCAAGTTGACTATTGTCACTTGCGTTCCAACAATGTGTAACAGCGTCCTAACAAAAGATAATTCAGTAGGACACCATCTCATGAACACAGAGTGTCACAGAGTTTGGGGCTGTTGTGTCCTTAGGGTTCATTGGGAACACTTTGTACTAGATGAGCTTCATTTTTGTTTCTTGATTGCTTTGAAAAAAATGAAGAATCTTACAAGCATTAAAATCATGGGCTGCATGAGTTCTGTAGGCTGTACAATGGGTTCTGAAAACCACTCATTTAATTCTGAGCTGAATCTGAATTTTAAAAGTGTTTTCATCTAAATGTACTGACATTATTTTGATTTCCTCACAAGTTTTTACTGATCATACACGACGTTATGAAAACGTTTCTTTTAACTGATCTTCTTTATATTGTTTCTTTAAACATCTGAAGTGATCATGTTCTTTTTCTGTGCTTTCTTCCAAGTAAATTTAGTCTCCAACAAGTTACTGTGCAAATTCAGGATATTGGGATACAGACAATGAACAGCCAGACCCTGAAAACAGAAACTCAGTAATACCATTTCCACATCACACAGAGTAAAGTGTCTCCTGTGGCCCCGGGCTAAGCACGTTACTCCAGTCTGACAGCCAATAGCTCTGCTAGCCAGTTTCATCTGATCAGGGCAAACATTACATTCCTACAGTAGAGTTTCCTCACCCCAGAAATGCCTACTGACCGCCGGGCAGCGAGGAGTCACTTTATGGATGATAAGGATCCCTTTTTCTGAGGCTCGTTAATAGACTCCACAAAGCGTAGCAGACAGCTCTTGGTTCTTTTTTGTGGTGCTGATCTTATGTTCCCATTGCTGTTACAGAACAACAAAATCTAGAGGAAACTAATATATCCATTTATTTAACCTAGAAAACTGATGAGCAGATTATCCAAGGTTACTGTACCTGCTTCAGAGATTAAACATCATTTGGAAGTCAAAGGGCAACTATTTATCGGCTGCAACGTATTTGATTCAGAGCCTTGAGCAGGATTATATTTCTCATGGGTATTTGTGCTAATTTCAAAGGCTAGACTGACAGACAGTGTCTGAAAACAAAAGTATAGAGGAGTGGATTTAAACAGAATGTTTTTCTTTCCAGAATCCAAAGTGGCCTTATTTTTCAGTTGCTGGACTGAAAAATACTTCCACGTCCTTGGAGGATCAAGGGCTATCAAAACAGACAAAAGGAAGATCTGTGGTTTAGTGGCATCACAGTTCACATGGTTTGTATTTCTACTAAGCTCACTGTGCTGTTTCACAGACCGTGTGGCTTGGGATTGCTTTCAGACACAAAACTATGCACGGAAGTACAGATTTAGATACAACCTAAGATACATCCGCAGATATTTGGTGCTTCTGAACAATCTGTATTGAATCAAACCTGCTTATATTAAAGTATTAAGTACATGTTGTCTTTAGAAATTTTCAAAGGCATCTTTGGGAAGTTGTTATGTGGAAAATTTAAGTAATAGCTTTAGACCAAAAGGACAGTGTGCCATCTGAACAAACAGAGCCTGCATAGCATCTTTGAGGGTGAGGGACTATTTCACTTGTAACTACCACAGCAGTACCATTAGATCTTATTATCTCAGCACGTGCTGTAAACAAAACACATTTTTCAGTTTCTTCTTCATTAAAACAACCATTTTTGCATTCATCCAGAGATTCCAGTGCATTGTGGAGGAAAAAAACAATCTGAAAGAAAGCTCTGATGTGACTTTGGGAGTAGGAGAAAGTGAAGAATACCTCTTGAATCCTGAGAAGGGACTGCAATTTTTATCTGACAAACGGTGTGAGGTGAGATGAAAGTCTGGGTTGCTGTGTCATATCAGTGCTGTGGGTTAACCCTGGCAGGCGGCTCAGCCCCACGCAGCCACTCACTCACTCCCCCACAGTGGGATGGGGAAGAGAAGAGAATTGGGATGTTAGAAGTGTGGAAACTCATAGGTTGAGATAAAGACAGTTTAAGAGGTAAAGCAAAAGCTGCCCCCGCAAGCAAAGCAAATGAAGGAATTCACTCCCCGCAGGCAGGCAGGCGTTCAGCGTCTGCAGGAACGCCGGCTCCATCATGCACGCTGGTTCCTTGGGAAGACAAACACCAAAGTTCAGATCGTCTCCCCCAGCTTTCACTGCTGAAGCAGGACGCCGTATGTTCCGGGACACCCCTGGTCAGCGGGGCCGGCTGTGTCCCCTCCCAGCTCCTGGTGACCCCCAGCTGCTCGCCGGCAGATCAGTGTGAGAGGCACGCGGGCCTGGTGCTGTGTCAGCGCAGCTCAGCGATAACCAAACCAGCGGTGTGTTGCCAAGGATGCTTTGGTCACACATCCAAAACACAGCACCACAGCAGCTACTAGGAAAAACAGTAACTATCCCAGCCAAAACCAGTACAACAATTAAACGGTGTTCCCCAACCATATGCACTCATAGCAGATGCTGGGAGAAGACTGTAAGCAATCTGAATCTAACTAAGCACCTCCTCCTCGAGAACCTGCAGTGAACCAGCAGAGCAGCTCTCAGCCTCGCAATGCACACCTGAGATGGAGGCATCACGAAAGCTTGGGCTAGATTTGATCATTCCTCTAAGCCATAATAATCAGCGCTGTGGGCACTGCTTGTAAATCAATGAGTAACTAAAAGAGTGGGATTGGGACATGAACTGTAGCAAGTTCCTAACCCGAAAGTTTCCGAGCCAACATCACGAGCGCTGCGACCCTCCCGGGGCTTCCATTCTGCTAGGAGGAAGGCTTGCACAGCCTGTTCCGCGGTGTCACCCGACAGCAGAGGCAAAGCCGATGCCTGTGCTCGTTACTGACACAGGGGCCCCTCCCAGTTCATCCCTTCGGGTCTTGCCAGTTCCAGATGCTCTTTCGCACCACCTCTGACCCGACCCGCTGTTGGAATCCTGGTGGGTGAGAGCTGGTGGCGCTCTCCTGCAGCACTCATTCCCTAGAGAGAAGGGACACTAAGCGGTGGCCAAAGGACTGCACAGCCACCCTGTGCCCTGCGCTTCCATGCATCTTTCATCTAGGCTGTGAGCTCCTCGGGGCCCACATCCGCAGAAGGGACGAGATTCAGGCACTGGCATTGCTGTTTTAGCTCCACAGCTAAAAAACATTCTTTGGTGCTTTTCAGTCTTTTGCAAATTTCAGAATTCCCAGATCTGAATCACAAACAGTTTAAAAGGCAGATAACTGAGTCTGGACTCCTTTCGTTTCGCACAGAGCTGCTAAAAGCAAGTGACTAGTCAAAGGCAAAGAGCAGATCACTGCTGATCCTGGCCTGGGTGCTGGGCTGGAAGGTTTCTTGCAGACAGCTCTGGTCGCAGCTGCAGGATTCGGGAAGCCTTGCAGGGTACTGGACCACGCTGTACTGGCGTCCAGGCTGCACCAGCCCGGCCCAGCTCTGCACGGGGCTCCGCTGGCTCTCATGGGGGGGGCCACGTACAGCCGCACACCCGCAAGAGAAGAGAATGTTTCAGCGTAACACAAGGACCAGCGCTCGTCAAGGAACAGGAATTGCAGGGTTCCTTCACGGTACCCGCTCCTGCTCCCGACCAGCGTCAGCCATCTCGGGAGATCCCCTGCGACGCATTCTCACCAGCACTTCTGAAATAACGTGTCTGGAGAACTGCAAACTGGTTCAGATCACTCTAAAGCCCCCTTAGTGGTTAGTGCTGTGGGACATTAGTTCTGGATGAGTAATTATTTGGTTTAAAAACAGGTCTTTTGTTTCTTGGGCTATAAAGACAACATGACCACTTTCTGTACTTTTGACCCCAGGGAAAGAAAAGCCACAGATAATAGAATTAAACCCTCATTTCACTTGAGATAATATTTGTGTAAGCTCCCTTAGTAAAATGTCATGTACACTGCCAAGTCTGCAGGTTATCACTTCCACAGTTTGAGTGTTTGGAGACAGGGCTTGGAAGTAGGGGGTATTTGGGGGAAAGCTCTGAGAATTATAAGAGCTGTAACCGTAGAACTTTTTTCCTACTCAGTCCAATGTTTCCTTCAAGACTTGAGCTCAGACAAAATAACGGTTAGGATATTTTTTATTGGCCCAACACAGAAACATTATATAAGGTTTCAAGGCCACACAGACAATTTTCCCCCTTTTAGCAAGGCTCTCTGTAGACTTCGCAGGGAGAAGAATCAACACATTCAACTGTGATGGCAATTGTGCTCCTCTTTCAAGGGATTATTTTAGAATTCTAAGCACCATGAAGCAAGAGTGCAAGTCCTCCCCATCAGCACTCAGAGCTTTTTCCTTATAACTCTGAAATCACACCAACAATAATAAAGCTTCTTGGCCAAGTGTTAGTTTGAGACATGTCATTCCATTCCAGGGAAGAAATGAGCTCTCCCTCCCCTTTCCTGCTGCAGACCTGTTGTGTTTGGATGCCCAGATGGTTTCAGGTAACCAAGATCAGACTCTTCCATAACCAGGGAGCCAGTCCTTCATTGCCTTCTCTCCCCATCAAGTTATCTTTCTTAAAACTGTATTGCTTGGTAAATTGCAGTACACTTCCTGAAAAAACAAAACCAAAACCACCCAAAAACCAAACCACATTAGTAAAGAGAGAGTTTCAAACTCTCTTTGACAGAGGTAGCACTCTGAGCAAGTTGGGCAACCTGGTAGTACAGAGCTTTTTAGAATGGTTTGACTTTTCCATAAGGAAATGAGAGTTAAGAAACTTAGCTTCAAAAAATGCAAGTCCATTCTTTAACTATGCATTATATCATCCGTACTTCTTAACTACAGAACACAGCTCCAGCCTTTCCTGTGAGGGGACTGAAACTACCAGTTCTCTTACGCCTGTTCTCTGTCAAACCTGAACACACTTTTTTAGGACGTGCATGCTCATTCAGTAAATATACCACAGTATAACGTCTTCCTTAATTCACAGCTCCCCACAGCTTCTGCTTTTTTTTATCGCCATGCAGGAATTATAGAGGCAAACTACTGGACTGCTGTGTCTTCATACAAAGCTGGCTTTTGTGGGTAGGCCAGAGAAGGCTGCTGGAGCCAGCAGAAGGAAAACAAGAGACAAAGAAAATATTAGCTCTGCTTTGTGCCATATGCTTTGGTCTCCTGTTACAGAATAGTCAGTCTACAGTGGAAATCAGAGCCCCCATGTGATGCCACAACTGAGACATGACACAGCGTGCAGGTGGTGTTTAACCAGGGCATGTGCATATACGGATCCTCTTTCATTCCGCATCCCCCTCACAGATCCGTGTCTGCTTTGAGCGGCTCCAGAATGTTTGCTTGAAATACTTGTCCAAAAACACTGAGAAAGCTGAACTGTAAATATGCTCCGGGAAGGAAATGGACAAGGGTGCAGTGGAGAAAATCTGGAGAAAGCAATTAGAGCAACCTATATTGTTATGACTAAGCTGCAGAATTCTGGGATTGGAACAACATGAAAAATATTGGAAGTGGAAAGATCCTGAAGTAATGCTGCTTAGGTCCTCTCGGAGGTTATTATGCTTCTGGCAGTGGCCAGTTCAGCATTACCTGCCAAAAAGCAATTTGACCTCACATCCAGGAGACAGGCTGTGCTGCGCATGGCCATGTCGCAGTTGGAAGCACAACCCCAAAGTGACCAGGAACTGTCGTACCTGTGACCCATTTCCACCGGAGGCCAGCACTTGTCAGTCAAGGCAGCTCTCGGGCAGTGGCAGCTGAACTCTACTTTCCCTTGGTCTAGAATGCTTGTGTTTCACCATCGTGTGAGCCGTGCACTCCAAAATATTTCTGCAGTGACTCGATGCATATACTTATCTGTATGTGCACATACATACAGGTGAACACACAGACACAAAGGTTTTTCTGGCATTATCTCAGGAATGTGGATAGATGTTAACTGGAATTATAGTCTGTGCATAAGAGCTCTTGCTCCAGTTTAAGCCTGGCACACAGCCCACCACTGCACCCCAAAAGTAATCACCAGATAGAAGAGTCTGTAATCTGGAAGGACAGATGTGCAATAGAGCATTTTTAAGGACATAACAAGGCTTCTGTGGTTACTTAGTGTCTACTATGCTATAACAATAAGCAATAGAATAATCTCTTACTAAAAAGGAAAAGACTAAGGATTGTTTGAACAGAAATCTTGAAAAAAACCAAAACCTATAAACCTTTCCACAGTGGTTTAAACAGATTATTTTAAAAATCATACTGTTAGTAAAGCCTTTTAAATTCCATGTGAGAACGACTATTCAGCCAAAATCCCAGAGAGCAGTTGTAGATAATTTCTAGTTGTCTTACTGTTCAAGCAGAGACCTTCCCAAGGCTTTCCACTACTCATCCTGTTTCCACCCCTCTAACAGAAAAACTAATGAATGATGGGCCTTCAGGGTAGTGGTTTTTTGTTTGGTTTTTTTTTTCCTGTATTCCAGATACTTAGTATTGAGTAATATGCAGGATCCAGAAAAAAGAAATTTTCCAAGTCTTCTTTTTCAGCCTTAAAAATGCTACAGAGACAAACACTATTTCTTCTCTTTTGCAGGTCACTTGTGCTAGACAAGCTGCTTGTGATGCATTCCATGCTGGGACCAGCTCTAAGCCGTGCATCTGCTGGATTTAGGAATAAAGAGCTAGTCCATAAAAGGTGGGATCAGAGGAGTGGCCTCAGGGGCACGGCAGCGCATTACTTCTGTGAGGTCAGAGTGTTTCACTGAAAGATATATACTGTTACAGGAAAAGGCCTTCCACTTTTTTTGATTCTGCCATTATTTATTGTTTGCATTGTTCCTTCTGCCACGCTAGATCACACAGGAGAAGTAACTGGAGAGAACGCCCTGCATCTTGCCCTGGAGCTCACGTTTGCCACTGCAAAGGAAACTTTTGCTATTACTATGTGCAAGAACATTTAAGCTATGGCTCATCCAAGGTCCCTGGGCCTCCCAACAAGTGTGAAAAACATTCAGTTTAGGAATAACCTTGCTCACAATAATATTTCCTCCATGTCCCTTTCTATTTTCCTTCTCACTAGAGAGACATTCACGTAAGCAAGGCCCCTGAAGGAGCACTGTTAACTATCCTAGAAAATTTTTTACAAAGAAAAATATTTCGGTTTTTTTCACTGTACTTAAAATGACCACAGTCTTTAATTAATTGCTTATGTCATTACTTTCCTAGCTGAAAAGTCATTTGAAGCAGGTCTACCCAGCATGAACTAAAAAGGGTAAAGTGATTTCTTTTTCAGTAAGGACACTTACCAGTGAAGATCACTATTTCTTCAGCCTCAGAAGTGCACAAGCACTTGCTTTGCATGGTTAAGATGACTGTGACGACAGGAGATGGTAGCTACAAGAGACAAAGGAAGATGGTGAATACCTGGACAAGGCCCATCTCAAGTCCCTTACTAACACCATGTTTAACTGTAAAACATCAGGGAAATCCTCTGTTGAGAGGAGAAACTGCCCTGCAGCGGGAGCAGGACCTGACCTCCAGGCTGCGCCCCGGGGCCCTGACAAGCAAGAGCAAACCTGGCAGGTGAGGCAGGGACACAGCTGCACTGCTGTGCAAAAGTTTAAGACACTTGTCAGAACATTCCACACCTCAGTGATTTTCTCTATTGCTCTTTCACTGGAATGTTTCCAGCCTCAGCTACAACACCCAACACAAGAATAAACCCTCCCACTTCCACTCCAGAGTCCACATTTACTATCTGCCACATTGGGCGTGCTTATGACATTCTGCCTTCCTGACCGGAGTGGCAGAGGGCACCCAACCACACGACTCTTGGTCGCAGCTTTGCCCGCACCGTCACCCTGCCCACGCCAGAGCGGCCAAGGCTCCTGCTCTTGTGTCGGCCCGTGCCCGGGCACTACCAAATGCTAAGGGGGAACATACAGACCAGCCTTCTCCAGGGTAAATCCCCATGCCGCATCAACCCTCAGTTATGGATTTCCATGTTCTCTCATAACAAAAAAAGATCTCAGGTAGTTGCTGAGTTGCCCAACATTGTTTTTCATAACCCAGGTGATCAGCATTAATAACAACCTTGTCTTTTACCTTCTTATTGCTGAATCTCATACCACCTGATGCAGATCATTCCCATGACTCTTGCCAGGGTCACAGGCCTGGAAGTCACCTACCTAATCCCATTTATCTGTTACTTTCCACATTAGCATAGAGCTTACTAGCGCCTACCTTCAGGTACTTCCCACAGAGCTGATTCAGCCCGAGCTGGCTGCAGCCTCCCCACTTTGCTGCCTGGTAAGTTCAGAGACAGGCACTGCTGCTCGCTGCCTCTCCATTGAATAGCTTGATGGAGATGGGCAGGAAAAAGGGAGAGGCAGGACAAGTAGAACACTGAGCAACCTTCCCATGCAAAGTACCTCATTTGACATCAGTTCCAGCTCTTTCCCTTTTTAACAGCAAGGGCAAGTACCCATTCCATTCTGCTCAGGCCTTAATTACTAGAAGCCTCCAGGCCCTGGGAGGAACTGCTAACCAGCTGACTGTTATCAGCTGTAATTATTTACTAGCTATACCTGGAAACTGTGACATTTATAAAGCAAGAGCCAGGGAGCCCTTACCTTCCCTATGTGATTAGCTGTAAATAGATTTCCTAAGCTTTTTATTCTGTAAGGTTTTCTCCACAGTATAAACTCATAAGCATATCATTCCTTAGGTTTGTTGGATTAAAAAAAAAAATATGGCTTAGAAGCAGTTTGAATTAATTATTAATTAAACTACCTCATGGGATTTATGTCCAGGAATAGAAATGTGTCTCCTTAGATTCAGGTGTCTGGGTACATCCTTGCAGCCTGATTTGCAGCTCACTGCTAAATGCCATTTGGTCTTTCAGGTGCTCTTTGTGCTGGTACAACATCTGCCCTTTCTGACACCAGCTCTGATTGTCAGGCTGGGCAACACGTTTCTGCCTAATAACTCCACACGTACAAGCAGCCCTGTCCAAAAAGGCAGAGCAGCACTGAATGACAAGCAGGGATGGATTCTGCATGTTGGGGGGTGTCGCTTTTACGAGGTAAATAAATACCCCATTTCCCTTCTTACCTTGAAAGCGATGGGAGGACGAGTTACAGTAGCATGGGTCTCTGCTTTGGCCCCTGCCATGCTCCTGCACAACAGCAGGTTGCAGTTTTACAGACTTCTGCTCTGCTATGCTGTCAGTCAGCTATTGGAAAGGCTGCGGCAGGCTTGAACATGCTCAGCTAGAACATGTTCGGGGAACGTTTGTGATAGAGGCAGCGGCTGCGTGCACGCTGGGGAGGCAGCTGTGGATCTTGGTGCTGGTTTCAGCTGGCTGATTACAGGTCAGACCCGTCTCCCCTGAAGCCGACAGGACCAGGAGCACCGTGAACACTAACTCCGCTCTGCCTCTGCTATTTTTTGGCTCCTCAGACAGTCCACTCCTGGGTCAAGGGGGAATTTCTGAGTATGAATCAGAGTTTATCTCCCTGCCCAGAGACGATCCTGGGAGTTACAAACTATGCCAGGAAAAATTGGCAGAAAATAGACAGAATAGAATTACCAGATAATAGCTAAATCTAATACCCTGGTTTCTTTTGTCCCTTTTCAGCACTGGCTGAATCGTCCCAAATTAAATGTTTCTATCTGGAGAAGCCCTGCCACTTCTACCCTGTATTCCAAGTCCTTAGAGGACCAGTGTCAGTACAGTTTGTTCCCAGAGCTTCACAGAGATTAGACTGGATTCAGTTATGCCTCTCAAAGCCTGGCAAAGCCGGGACTGTCAGTGAAAAAGAAGGTGCCTTACCGAGATGGTGGCTCTGGAGGCACTGAGAACGAAGACTGGCAGCAGTGGGAGCGTGACCACTGGGCAGGTGGGCGGGTGCTGCGCCTCCCCCGGCGCTGCCTGCGGGCAAGGGCTGCCAGGACATCCAGAGTGTATCTGCAGAGGATGTCAAACTCCAGCAGAGAGCACGCTGGGTGGTTCTGTGCTCTGGATCCAGTTCATAAAGATGATGCTTTCTGTACAGAAAGCCTTGCCACTATCACCAAAGACATCCTTTCTTTCTTCTGAGCAGTTCTTGGCATCTGCAAATGGAGTTTCTAGGTAAGATGCCAAAACGAGCTTCATCTGTGTAATCCCAGATCAAGTGAGGGCATCCAGAAGATTAATTTAGGAATTTTCTCTACAGGCCTGCTCCTGGAGAGACCCAAACCGTACCCTGTGCCTCTGCTTTGCTGGCTTTGTTTACGTCCCCCAACTGTACTGTGGGCAGGCAGTGAGGAACAAGTAACGAGGGTGAGGAAGTGTCTTGGCACGGCGGTACCAGCCCAGTCTGCTGTGCCGGACTGGCAACAGTGTCTCTCCTGTCAGGTGAACCCCCACTGGGAAGACTGGTTGATCGAGGGCTTCGCAGTGGTGCCAGATGTGGTACCAAGCAAGGGCCCACTTGGGCTGGCGTCGCCGTGCTGAAAGGAGCATCCACCTTGGACAGGGAGGCCACGCGCGCAACAAAACGTCAGTGACAACGGCACAGGACAGCAGGGAGGGAGCCACCCGCACCTGCACAATTCACCTCAGCTGCAGAAACCGGCCCCATGGACCACGCAAGAGGGGATGGTTCCTGGGTGGGTTAACTCCCACCCCCGCCTGGAACGGCCTGGGGAACACCGGCCGGGCCAAGCCACAACCGGGCCAAGGACCGCGCGGCAGTTCAGCGGTGGGCATGAATGAATCCCAGCACCCTGAAGTGATTAAATATGGGCCTAAAGGTAGCCCGTGTTGGCACTTCCCATCCGCTGCCTTGTTCCCCTGGGACCGGGGGAGTCAGCAGACCCCCCAGAGCAGCTCACGGCGGGTCAGCCGCGGAGCTGTGCCAGGTAACGCCTCCGCTGCCCTCAGTGCCTGTAAGAGATGAGTGTGAGTTTTGGAGGCTGTGGGACTGCCATGGGACAGAACTGTTTCAGACTGAAAACTATTATTGGAGACTGTGTGTAGGGTTAGAGGTTAAACACGAATTTGTATTTTATAAAACAGCTTCTCCTGCACTGGCTTGTCAAATATTGACCTCAGGGTCCTATATTTCCCATATTAGATTGATGATCTCACACATTCTGCTAAAATAAGATTTTTAAAGCTGCTTTAGGTGCCTGTGATGTCACCAGAAAAAATATGAAAAATCCTAACTCCAAGTTCTGGCTGGAATAGTAAACAGGATATGGTATGTAAATCTTTGTTTTAAGATGCATTTACCTTACATGCTTGCTGGGTGAGCAACCTCTGAGATTTTATACTGCATTGGGATTCTTTGTACATTTTTTGGTAAATGTTTGCCACATTTGAAGGTATTGGGGTTTTTTTCCTAAAACAAATATGGATGCCTGAGGACACTGATAGAGATTCACTAAGGCAATTCATTAATATTCTGAGAAGAAAACAGGTTCAGGTTAGTCAATGCCTTCTTTAATTCAAATGCCATACGAGAGGCTATAAGACATAAAACCTGCAAATTTGTGCTTGATATTAAGTTGGACACACAGCAAATGTAGTTGCAGCAGGGTGAAATGCAGAAAAGTGTCTGTGCCGCCACAGCCTCATCCCCCATGGGGACATATCATATCTGCCAGCCCTAATCCACTCCAAAAACCAGTGCTGAAAAGGCCAAGTCCCTTCTGGGCTTTAAACAAAGAAATGAGATGCGGAAAGAGAACTACATCCATTTTGCAAGGATGAGTACTGGGTCATGGGTCCTTATATTTTTTTGCAAAGAAAACCTTCCCGAGATGGTTATTCTCATGAACAGCCAAAACAGACATCCTTCTGACAATATAATTTGAAACTCCAGCAGCAGAGTTCAGGATCAATCCCCTATTCACATACAATCTTTATTTACTTTGGGTTGGGGTTGGGGGGAGGGGGGTGTAGTTTTAGTTTGGGGCTTTTTTTCTGTTGAGTTTTTTTCTTAGCTCAAATTTTACAGCACTACAAGAAAAAAATAACTCAGTATTGATCCTTTAAGGTTAAGAACTTGGTGCACTTAAATTATTCTAACCCAGAGAGTTTGAAATTTATAGTCCCTCTTGAACCTCCCTGCCTCACCAGCTTCCTTGGGAGGACCCTGCTGCAGGCTGCACGCCAACTGCAGTAAAATTTAAAGAGGTGAGAGAGAAACTTCCCAGAAAATATAAACATTTCATGGAAATGAAATAAGTCTTCCCTTATAGGAACTCACCTCAGCAAGCTTTAGATAAATGGAAAGGTATTCAGAATTGTAAGTGGATATAAAGTGTGGTGTTTTAGATACATTTGTTTATGAGCAATGCAGGATTGTCTTAGGACGGTGAGTGGAGCAGCGAGGGGCTGTCAGCCCCCTCCCCTGCGCCGGGGTCAGCTGCCTCTGGTTTATGCTCCCTCCAGGACGGGCGGCAGCCGCACACACCTTTGCCCCCCCGGAACAAACCCCCGCTCACTGCAGCCACAACATTTGAACTCATGACACCAGCACACCCTGCGAGGGAGCTGAAACATCCCCCGAGTCCGGAGATGGGAAACTGAGAGTAAGAGCAGCGAGCAGGGCACTGGAAGTCTCTGCTCCGGCGTCCCGGGTCTCCGGCTGACACAACACAGAAGGCTCGCGCGGCTGCACAATAACAACAACTGCGGAGAGAAATAACGTGTGAGCATTAGAAGGGCTGTAAATTCCTCAGCCCCACTCGCTGGGCACTGGCTCCCGAGGCCTGCTCCTCCTGCAGCTTTGCGTGACCCACGTTTCCTTAGCAATCTCACCACATCCACGGAGGGTCTGGGCAGCTGCTGGGAGAATGAGGTGCTGGAAGCAGGAATGGGGATTTCAAGAGGGAACCTTTTAGCCTGGGAAGATGCTGGAGAATTCAGGTCCAGGGTTGGCTCAGAAATGTGGGGGGGTTGGTGCATGTCCGGTGCTGCTCTCTTTCTGAGGATCTCCGCCATGACCTCAGGAGAACTCTGCCGAACGGATCTGACATCGCTTTTGTGGCGTCCACCTCGCGGCCGACCGTTCGCTCAGCAGTGACTTACACAGAGGTCACGGGGAAGACAGCGCTGGCGCGTGCAGGCGCAGCCTCACGGCCCGGTGCAGGGGGTTTGCTCACACCACGCTCTCCCCCAGCCAGCACCTTCTCCTCGTAAATGCTTAACTGACCCCTACGTGTACCCTAGAAACCACATGTTCACTTCTGCACAGAAATCACAGATAAAATCATGCCCTTATCAGGCTTGTCACACTTCATAGGAAATACAGGAAGGGAAAGCGGATGCACAGGACATGCAGTTTTACCAACTCTTTTTAAAAACATTTAGCAAAGTCTCAGCAGTTTA